AGATTTAAAATATCAACAGGTAAGTAACAAAGGATATAGTAAAAAAAAATAGAAATATGTCCATAGGACATGAATGCCCCGCTGAGGGTATACTAGTTAAGCAACATGAAAATTTGTATTAGTGTATGAAATTTGATGAGAATATCTTGAATAGTTTCTTTAAAATTGAAATTGAAATCTAAAAAGTTGGATATAGATGATAAATTCTCACCAAATTATGTATAAGTGCATAAGCTTACATAATCTTAAATTGTTTCTTTATATTTAAGCAAAATGCAAATGTAAGAAAAATGAGGTCAAGGTCCCAGAAAAGTTCAAGGTCAAACATTTTTGATGCAGTTGAATAGTTCTCATAAATATGTACTGTAAGTTTTGGGGTATATGTCGATGGGGTGTATAGGTCGAAAGGCTCATTTTCAGCCGTAATTTTTTAAAAATCCTTAGATAGGATGAATTTGGAATATAGGACGAGCCTTTGTTTATCGATTTCTAGAATCTCTTACGTGGATACTACGTATCAGAATATGTAAACCTCTTTAACGTAACCCGTGATATTAACGTATTGAGAAAATAAACTAGTATTTTTATGAGTACAGTATTTTAATAGTGTTTTATGCAAACGTAGTTAAAACTTCCTTGAATTGTGATATAACGTATTTTCTCCAACTTACATGTTCAATGCCGTCGTAGTTTGACTCTGTCGTTAAACACATAAATACGGTAGTATAAAACAGCTATAATTAGGGAAATACCCGAAATCAAACAATTATCATTTCCATTTTAGAACATTCTTTTATTCCGACATTATTTACCAGGGTAAAAAATTAACTTCGATGACCGCCATTTTTATACTTTCTTGTCCAGGGATTTGCTAAAACACGCAAATGACTAATCATATTAACATGCGATAATTTTGCATGAGATGTTGTTGTAAAAAATAAATTTAATTGAGAGTACATTCGCAATTTAACAGTTATCAAGAATTTCACATTTTTGTTTGTTCAATGATGTATAGCACTAATACCCCTGTAACGGCACGTGGATCTTTAATCATGCCCCGCAGGTGTTTTAACCAACACAGGTGTTAACACCTTTGTGTACATAGTGTATATCCCTTTATCTGTCAGACAATTAAAATTCTATTAGAAGCCAATCTTTGTATAATTCAGTGTACCCCTTGGGTACCAGGAAACTATCATTTCTATCATTTAAAAAATATTTATTTTGTAAAACAAAAAAAAAAACAAAAACAAAAAAAAAACTGTGAATAAAAAAATAACATATCGTGAATAAATGAATTTATAACTTCCAAAAACGTATAATAGTATATTCAAGATAAGTTCGTTTTATTATAATTAATTAAGATATAAAACAAAATAGTTATTACTAGCGGTATATTTGGTAAATAAATTTAGGAATTTACTGGCAACAATTTACTTCACGCATTTTACATTTAAATAAATATCACAAGACAATGAACAAATATTTAGGCATACTATTTCAATTAATCGTTACAAATAAATGGTAAAAAAAGATTACAATTGCGATTGTGAAAATTCTTCCGTATTTTAAATTTTGATACGGCTGCGGTTTTCTTTTTAGTAAACGATTGCGACTTCCAACTTCACAAATGGACACAGCATGTTGTAAATATACTTTGAGACATTAATTACTACATGATATACCAGTAATAAGTTTTTTTGTACATCGACAGATATTTAATGGAACTTATTTTGTAAGAAATCAATGGAATAAATATTTAATTCTTTATTGTTTATTATTTTTTTCTCGGTAAAATAATTTTAAAAAATACTAAAATGGCACAGAATTGCTTTAAAATTGACGTTAATTTTACTGATTTGGAGGCATTTTTCGTAAACTTGAGCCTTAGATAGGTTGATTCATTAAATAGGATGACCCCAGCGGTTCCGAGAAAAAAAGTATCGTCTTATCTTCCAAAACTTACGGTATCAGCATATTAAGATTGATAAAAATATTTTGAATGGTTTATTTAAAACTGAGCTAAACACTAACTCAAAATAAATGAAGTTAAGGTCAAAGGAAAGGTCAAGGTAAAAAAATGCTGATGCATTTGAAAAGGTTACATAAGTATGTATTAGCATATGAAGTTTGATAAAAATATTATGAATGGTTTATTTAAAACTGAGTTAAACACAAATTGACAAAAGTGAGGTCAAGGTCAAAGGAAAGGTCAAGGTGAAAAAATATTGATGCAGTTGAATACCTCTCATCAGTATGTTTCAGCATATGAAGTTTGACACTAATTTAAGAAAAGTGAGGTCAAGGTCAAAGGAAAGGACAAGGTCAAAAATGTTGATGCAGTTGAATAGCTCTCATCAGTTTGTATCAGCATATGAAGTTTGTTAACACTATCTTGAATGCTTTTCTTTAAAATTGAGCTAAACACTTATTTAAGATCAAAAGCCTGAAAGGCTTCAATGACGTCGAAGAAGAAAAACAATTTCAAAAGATCATTTTGAATTTGAAGATAGCAATAAGTCAAGTGAGTGACTCAGGAGAAATAATAAAAAAAATAGTTTTAAACAAAATATCACAATTACAGTCTGGGGCCTTATGTCATGGTCCGAATGGAGCAGGGTTCGAATTGACCAGACACCGTCGAACATGTTTCATGCTAAATTCTTTTCAGTCAGTTGAAGAACTATGAAGGATTTCATAAATTTATATAATATTTTTTCTAATTGCCAATGTCAAAGCGTTGTATTAGTGATTGCATCTAAACTACAACCAAGACTGTTCTGTTACAATTACGATCGAGTTACGATCGGGCGTGGTATACGGTATACTGGGAAATGGAGGAAATAGAGAAATACAGTAATACTGGTCAACATCATCGGTTTTTAGGATAAAGTTGGTCAGAAGATTGTAAAAGTAAAGCTAAGATTTACAAATTCAATCTTTTCAGTCTTATAGTATTCGTGTTTATGTAATTTTGTAAATTATTTTACCGCCTGTTGGGTTGTTTGTGTTCCAAGGTTATCGTTCCAAAATGTTATTCATGTCATTCGACGCACCTTTCTGTAGAAATTCATCCGCAACAACCATCACGTTTTTATTGTGTGAAAATAAAACATAATATCGTTGTTTTGTAAAAGAATTAATTGTAGATACAATTGATGCAATTTCATTTTCAAGCTATAATTATTCATTGTGAGCGTTTTAAAAGAAATTGGTTTATAGCTATTGCTATTTTCTATTGCGGATGCATCCACTGACACATTCGGTCGCGTACATCCCTTGGCGATTTCACTTGGCCGATCGCTAGATGACGTTCGAGCTCCAAGAGCTCGACGTCATAAAAAGTGAGGTCAAGGTCAAAGGAAAGGTCAAGGTAATAAATATTGATGCAGTTGAATAGCTCTCATCAGTATGAATCAGCATATGAAGTTTGTTAAAAATATCTTGAATGGTTTCATTAAAAATGAAATAAACACTAATTTAAGAAAAGTGAGGTCAAGGTCAAAAGAAAGGTCAAGGTCAAAAAATGTTGATGCAGTTGAATAGCTTACATCAGTATGTATCAACATATGAAGTTTGATTACACTATCTTGAATGGTATCTTTAAAACTGAGCTAAACACTAATTTAAGAAAAGTAAGGTCAAGGTCAAAGGAAAGGTCAAGGTCCAAAAATGTTGATGCAGTTATATAGCTCTCATCAATATCTATCAGCATTTGAAGTTTGATAAAAATATCTTGGATAGTTTCTTTGAAACTGGGCTTTGAACAGAGCTAAACGCAAAGTGTGATGGAAGGACGGAAGATGGACATGACAAACACTATAAGCCCCGGCCATATTCATGGCGGGCATAAAAAATGAGTGTTACACCAACAAAGAGAGATAACTCTTAGGAATATGAAAGTCATCTATTACAAATGTAAATCATTTAATATGATTTTATACAAATTATATCCAATCACATTCTAGGTTCTAAATAGGTCCAGTACAATCACTACAGTTAACTACGTAGCATAAATTACCTACTAGCTTTCTTTAACTACAAAGAAGCTAAATAAAGCTATTATAAGTAAACAACACAAGCTACCTACGTAAACAACGCAAGCTACCTAGCTAAATGTAGTGATTCTACCAGACCTGCTAAATACATATTATCCATTATGAATGTATTTTTACCTCTGGATCTGGATTTAATCTGTACACATACAGCTTATTTACTGCTGCAATCACCAAATTTCTTTCTGATGTATTGAAAAAATTACAATACACACAATGCTCTATTCCAGTTGGGGGATGGGTCTGCTTAAATATGGAATACATTTTCCTGCCTGGAAAGAAAGTATGTAGATGTGGATGTAAGAGATATGTAAAATCAACAAAGAAAGAGAATCTATTCACCAATTCTTCTGCTGATTTAGCTCACAAACTTTAAATTTTCAGCTGTTAATTTTTCTGTAAAACATCAACAAATGCTTCTCTTTAAATTAAATACTAAATAGAACCTGGAGAAACTCACCGACTATTGATTCCTTAAATCATTAGATGTGATTCAAATATTGTAAATGATGAAAAGTTGAAACTAAACATAAAATTTTGTTTCTATTCTGAAATTTCTCTGCACGCTGTGCTTCCCGGGCGCCATACTTGTTGTTGAATGTTTTCGTATTTATCACACGGTAGTTCATATCTGCTCAAAAAGGAATATAATTTTACTATATATTTTTAAATTGCACTGCTTAAAAATTCAAATATTGCTATTGCACAAAGTATTCTTTGAAGGTTCGAAACTAAGGTATGGGAGCCTACTAACCAACTTGTTCGTATTTGTTTCTCTCTGTTTTGTTACACATATTATCCAGTATAATACAAAGTATTATACTCATAAAATTTATCAAAAACTTTTCATAATAATTTCTAGAGAGTGCATCTCCAAGATATAGCTTGAATGTTATATTCTTAACTATCTTTGCTAAATATATTGTATGCACGCCTTATAAAAAATCCAATATGGCAGCCTTGTGAAGAGAACATGTGCTTGGCGTTTTTAATTGCTGTATTTTATTAAAGATTGAGACATGTCATATCAAACAAGTCTATGAAAGGTTATAATATAAAACAGGTTAGTGCTTTTCAAACGCATTTTGTCATATATAGTGGTAATTTCATATTGTTTCAAAGAATTTGCATTAACCACCGATTGACCATATACATTAGAGTCAGACAACATACGATGTAGACTTATTGCACAGCTGCTTGTTTCATACAGTACGCTATTTTTGTACTATTCGTCTATACGTATACATAATAAAAAGCAATATAAATTAAATGATATTTACATGCTTGTGTTTTTGCAGTCATGGGCGAATTTAGGGTACACAGAGTCCGATTTTTTGAGTATCAACCTAAGGCTATTCAGTCCATTGTATATGGAAAAGAAGTAAATAAGGTTGCCTTATCAAGGTAAAAACGTTTGTCACTTGTGGTATCCCTCTTTTCTCTGTCTCTCAGAGTCTGAAAGAAAAAATAGATCCACCATTGGATCACAGGCCTTTAGATCACTTTAATCTATCTTACAATAATAATAATAATAATAATAATAATAATAATAAAGATATGGAACTCCTTACATAGGGTCCCCTATTTAAGGAGTTCCATAACTTTATCTCTTTTTCACACCCCAAAATTTTTGTAAGTCAGATTAAAGTGATCTTAAAGCCTTTGCATTGGATAAATAATTATTATATTCTATTGGTACAATTTCAAAATCAGAAAACAAACATGTTTCACAAAGGATAACAGACTTTATCATTTTCTTTGTGCTTATATAAAAGGAACAGAATCATTCTAAAGAGATGGTCTACAGAAAGTCAAAACCCTTTAAAAGCGTACATATTTTTATTTGTGTTATCCAACTGACATATAGAATAGAATTTCTGTATTTTGAATTCTAATTTGGAATTATATGTTTTTCACAATAATATAGGTCTGATGGTTGTATTGAAATATGGGATGTAGCCAATGACTGGTATCAAGCAAAGGTAGGTTTATGTCCCAGTTATATGTTTAGATATATTTTGATCAAGTAGTTTCTGTAAGTTAATAGAACTAACTGAAATACATGTATATGCAATGTATAAATCAGTGATAGTGCACAAAAACTTTGATATCTTAATGAATGTCAGACGTACCGATATCTTATCTTTTGAATATATCCTCTGATTTATTAATGTGAATTATTATTATGTATATTTGTAGATTATACCAGGAAGTGAATCTAAGTCTATAGAGACCTTGTGCTGGCAAGGAAAGAGACTGTACTCAGCAGGTCTGGATGGAGATGTGGTGGAATATGATCTCAAGAAACTAGAACCCAAGGTATCAGGACAAAAATTTCACTCAGATGATGTTTTTTTAATATATAAATGTTTCTTCAAACCAAACAGAAAATATGTGATTTAAGTTTTTTAAACACCATATGTTTCATTTTTTTAAAGTTGTCTTTCTGATGTTGTGTTTTTAGGCCACAGCTTCATCCAATGCTGGCCCAGTTTGGTGTTTGACCACAGACTCAAATGGAAAATTTCTGGCTGTGAGAATGATTAAATTTTTATTCATATCTGTAATCTAAAATTATTAATCATTTCCAATGTCGTTAACTTTCATCATTTCAATGCAAAAAAGAAAGGGACATATCTCTGAAAATATTTGTAATTGTATCATTATAATGCAGAATCTTATTTATGACAAACACTAAGTTTAACAGCTGTAAATTTCTCTGGCACCATTAAAAGGTATGGCACCTTTCCACCATACATGTATTTTTTTTCCTTAAAGAATGTGATCAAAAGTTTTGGTTTCACTGTGATGTTTTAATTCTTCTGTAGGCTGGTACAGAGGAGGGCTGCATTGTTTTATTTGACACAGATTACAACTCTCTACAATATTACAGATCTTTTGATAAACAGGAAGGTAAATTAAGCATTTCTGCCCTGAAGAGACCATAAATAAATAAAGATTTTCATGTACATGTACTCATGCTTATATTCTAGATGAGACAATTGTGTGTTTTGTTAAGAATCTGAAAAAAAATAAAAATTTCATTCATCAGAATTTCTTATTGGAAGGATAACTTGAATGGAAATGAAAAGAAAGCAAAAACATAAAGATGATTATTTCTCTATCCAAGTTCTTTGTTTAAAATTTATTATTAATTATATACTTCAAATATGCAGATTTCAGTTCTGTTATATATATACCAATCTTCATCTTTTCCCTCTCAGGTCGAATTTTATCCATTGCTTGGAACACCAGTCTAGAGGTGATTTTGACTGGAGGGGTGGATAATATGAGACTCTGGAGTGTAAAATCTGGTCATGCTGTTCAGAGAATGACTCTAGGGAGGGTGGAGAAAAACAAGGAGACTATTGTGTGGTGTGTGGCCATCCTTAGGTATGTTCATAAAAATTGTCCCTGAACATAAAGACTGCATAAAACTCTACTTCTTGCATTATTAGACAATGAGTTTGAGATCTAAATGCTTCTTTAGATGTCCACTCAAATCCATTGCAGTGTTTTCAAGTTAAGAATATGTGGTTTTGGTTTTCTTAATGTTGATTGCTGGTCAGCTTTTTTGTTTTTGTTTTCAAAAAGTAAATATACCAAATGTAGAAAAATATACTTTTTTCATTTGTAAAAAAAATTGCCCCTTTTAAAAAAAGATTTAAGAACAAAAGAAGCATTAATGATTATCGTAATGCATTACATGTTTTCACCTTTTTCATGAACAAAGATTGGCTAATATACAATGCATTTTTGAATATGGAAAATGTACTCTATTAAGCATGTACAATTATTGTTACAATTTCTGCTAAATATTGTACTACAATATTTAGCAGAAATTGACTTTTCAACAAGTTAAAATAAATTTGATTGAGTGCACATTTGAATGTGCTAGACATTCCAGACATTTAGTGATGTACTTGATTGAACAGAAAGGCACTAAAAAGAATACACCGCTAAATGTTTACGTTTACAGTAACCAATACACCTCATATTTTTAGTGATATGACTTTAGTCAGTGGAGACTCGAGAGGTAGAACTATCTTCTGGAATGGCAAACAAGGAACACAGATAAAGGTTCAGTTTCTTTTGTTTCTTTCAGTATTTAATACATGTAGTACCCACTCAGATTTATTAGAGACTTTTCATTGCATATAGACATTCAGTGCATAAATGACCAATAGGCAATGTTGCTGATGCACAGAAAATATTGCAACCAGTATAATGATAATTTGATTTATTAAAGAAAAATCTACATAGTATTTTAACAATATACATAATGGTTAGAACACGTAGTACATGTTTATTCATTTATTCTTTTTTTCTGTAGAGTTTTCAAAATCACCAAGCAGATGTCTTGTGTTTAGCAGTTCATGAGGTACAGTCTTGAACTTATTTTGTATTTTTTTATCTGTCAGAAAAATAAATTTAGATATAAATACATGTACATATCCATAAAATGTTTGATTTTTTTTCTTTAGTAAAGATTATAAATAACCTTTTAGTACTTGTCACAATCATTTATTTTGTTGAGATATTTATAAAAAATTATCTTTTCCATGCCAATGTTGTCCATTCTAAAATGTCATACATGTGAAAATAGTCAATGTATGCATATGTTTCAGAATGAAAAACAAGTATTCTCCTCAGGAGTGGATCCAAAAGTGGTGCAATTTCAGTACACCACCACCAGTCAGGAGAGTGACTGGAATATGTGGGTCAGAACCTCCGTGTGGTATCAACACACACACGACGTGAGGGCACTGGCCATCACAGGGAGGGATATAGTGTCTGGGGGTAGGTTCCTATACATGTATTCAATTCTTAGGATTGCAGTGGAAAAATCAGGACTTCCTTCTGAAATTGATTAGTGTTCTTCATGTACTTTGAACATTGTACACCTTTTACAGATGAATGTTATTTGAATCTTACTATTGACAATAGATCTACATTGTACATGTATGTGCTTTCTTACTGATTTAATTGTGATTTCTTAGGAGTAGATACAAATCTGCAGCTGAATCGACTTGGGAAGGAGAAAAATAAGCAAAAAATCCGAGCTATAACTATGGTAAATTATTTCTTGTACTGAATATCATAGTAAAAAACAAGTTGCATTTATTTTTCAAGTTAGATTGAGGGAATCTTTTAATGAACTGAAAAGAGATGAAGGAAAAAAATGTGAACTTTTGGACATATATTTTAAAAATGCTTATAAAGTTTAAACAGTAGATAATCTTCCTTGGCTGACTGAACTTTAAACTCCTTGTAATATGCATGTACATATAAACAATATGATCCACACATACATGATGCTTAAAATAATCATAAAGATATTTGAGATTAACATACATTGGTTGACAGCATCAGTTGGTGGGTGTGGCTAAAGACAGAAATGCCCTCCTGCTACAGTATCCTGATTATCTAGAGCTTTGGAGACTAGGAAACACTAGGAAAACTTCAGGTAAAGAACGTGTGCTGCTTGGCAGTCATAAACATGCATAGTGTACTGATTTCCTAAATATGCTTTTACAAAGGTTAAATGACCGTTTCTTAACTTGACATTGCATAGATAGCTCTCAGGTTTACAAGCCCTCTGTTCACTGATCTAAAATTTTACTTTAAAAGAAATGTAATTTAAAAGGCACCCAATTTCAACATACCTTGCTATACATATTTTAGAAGAAATGGTCTTGACAGGAACAGCCATTTATTTCAGTGAGAATATCTCCCTTATCAGATAGGCAATGAAATTATAGCAGCTAGTATACAATTTTGATTTAGTGTGCCGCAGGACACTTCCAAAAATGAAAAAAAAAATTACATGGTAATTAAAGTGTATTGTAATGTTTGAAGTGTCATATTGTATTATACATTTATGTATGTGTAAGTTTGAATCCCAGATTTATTGAAATACTACTATACAATGCTACAAAGCCATTAAATGATATTGGTTAAATCTAGATGCATCTTGTAGATAAAGATGGTGAAATGCTTCCAGAGGAAGTTTCCCCTCAGAAACTAATCCAGCTGAAAACTAAAGATGGACAACATATCTCCTGTAGTGCAATAAGTTCCAGGGCTAACTGGATGTCATACTCGGATATTGATGGAGTCAAACTGTACAAAATAGAGATGGTAAATACTCATTCTGTTGTCATCAAATGTCTTTGAAGATCTATTATCTTGTTATTATCTCACTGAGCATAAGCATATTAACTGTATATGTACATTTGTTAGACTTGAAATATACTTGAGTGAACTTTTGAGAGTTGTGAACTTCTTGCTAGTGCAGTGCAGGGGGTTTGAATGTATGTGAAATATTTTGTGTTTGAAGAAATATTTTTTTTTTTTTGGTAGGATGACTCAGAGTCAATCAGCCCTGCAGTCAGCATGAAGAAGATAAAGAAATCCCTTCCCCCTTTCTCTGCCCATCGCCTCGTTTTCACAGCTGATGAAAAGTTTTTAGTTATAGCCACATCATGTCAAAAAATTGTAGTTATCTCCCTGGAAGAAGATTCAGTGTCTATATACCACAGCTGGGAGGATTTCACAGGTATGAAGTTTTAAAGTTTAAATGTATAATTGAAATTTGTCAGCATATAATGTCCCATTATAATTGAAGGATTAATTTACAATGTGCTGCATTTATGATGTTTTGTACAAGGAGTAATCAATGTGTGACCTCTCTGACTTAATACATTTTCCTAAACAACCAATATTTAAAAACCTCTGTATGATCACTATGTGTTTACTTACATTATCAGAGGAGTCTATTCATCTACTAAGTGCGAGTCCAGACAGCAAGCTGGTGGCCGTGGCAGACCTGTCTTACAAAGTATCTGTGATAGGACTGGAGTCTAAAGAGGTAGATATTATAGAATTCATCTTTTTAATAAAACAAAATATGCTTAATTTTAGGGCTATTCTATTGTGAAAATGCGGTGGAAGTTACATGTAGGTAGCTGCAATAATGTAGCCCTCTCCAATTTTTTTTTTTGGGGGGGGGGGGGGGGGAGAGGCCTCTCCTGAAAACATCAGATAAAAATTATCGGAGAGGGTTACAATATTGCAGCTAGAAGTTAGACTGTTCATTAAGTTTCAGGAAATATAACTAGAAATTTTTTTTAAAAATTGCATTTCGAAATTCTTATTAAATTCAGGAATTTACTTATAACAGGTTGTATGCCAATTACCCAGTTATAGGTCAACAGTAACAGCTATGACCTTTACGTCAGACAGTGGGAAATTGATCACAGCACATGCAGACCAAAAGGTAACTGTACATAATTATTATACAATTGAGTCATTTGTATTTGCAATGGTTGTCTTCTGTCTCCCTTTCTTTCTGTCTGCCTAAGTGTTACGAAATTGTTTTTGGCTATAACTTTGGATCTCTCGACTGGTATGAACTCAATCTTTAGTAACTTATTGTCAAAGATTAATGACAACTGTAATCATGGCCCTTCTGTTACTGAAAAGATTTTCAACATTTTTTTTTAACTTTTATATTTTCATGTAAAAACTTTGATCCTGTAGTTTAAACCTTGATCATTTCTCAAACCTCAAGATCACTCTATGGAGGATTGGTGATACTGCTCACACTTTAAAAACTGTGACAAATTCTGCACCCAAATCTGAAAATTATTACAAATTCTAATATTTGGATTGTTTTCTGTACAGATTTACGAGTTTGACATCCATAAAAGGGAATATAGTGACTGGTGCCGAGAAGTGTGTAGCAGTTTCCCGGATGCTTGGACGCGGCGGCACCAAAAGATCTTCTGTATATCTACCTCACCACGTTACCCTGATAAGATATTCTTTTGTGACCTGGACAAGTTTTTCATCCTAGATAAAACTCAGGTAAATGAAGCCTCGATTCATATGTTACCCAAATTTCACAATTTTGTTTACTCTTGTGTGAATATTGTACATGTACAAGGATGAAGTCATAAATGAATGGGAGAAAATGGATTGTAACCTTTTCAAAAAATTCATTAAAAATGCAAAAATTGTTTTATTATTACAGCCGTTCCCAGACAGAAAAACAAAACCTTTTGACCTGGTGGCTAGACCAAATTCTTCAAAAGTGACGGCCTTTCATGTTTGTACAAGATTTCGTGTAAGTTTTGCAGAAGCTGTTAGATATTTTAGACTGTACTCTTGACTGTACAATTACTTTCTATTAATATTCTAAAATTTCCGATGCTTTTGCAGTACCTAATTCATATGGACTTTGTCAAAGATGATTGGGTGGTCATGGTGGAAAGGACTAAATTAGCCATGATGGAATCACTTCCAATGGCTCTACAACAGAAAAAGTTCGGAACCTGAGGAGAGTTCAAATGATAAGTTAATGAGTTGAAATTCAATCAGCAAGAGAACCTGGAGCCAGTGAAAAAATGTGATATGATGCTTATGACCAGAATTCTTCTTAAAATTTGTGAAAGATGCATAAAGACATACCATAAGAAATGCAATCATTGGCACATCTAGAGTTGAATATGATAGATATCTCATTAAAAAAAAAAACCTGCCAGATGTTGATTATCACTTGTGAGAAATCACAGAGAGCAGATAAATTGTTTTCTGTAGGACAAAAATTCTACATGAGATTCAGGGCTGAATGGCCAACTGTTTTATGGAATTTCTCATGTACATGTTTAGACTGCATGCAGTCTTGTTGTTATGAATGCTTTTTTACATATAATGTTATGTAGAGTTCAAGAAACAAGTTCAAGAAATAGCTGATTAATAAAAATACATGTATGTACTGTATATTTACATGTATAAATATGTTTTAGTTTTAATCAGTCTTTTTAAAATCAAATTATATTCTACAAAGAATGCTAGTATGATGCTTAGGCAGCTTTATATCAAAATCATGCACATGCAGTGATGTTTGGATGTTCCTCCTTTGTTAAAAATATTTTTTGTTTTACAAAATTGCAAATTGGGGATTAAATCTATTTATGTTACATACTCTCCCAGTCTTTGTCTTCAATTTATCAAGTTATTTGTTCAATTTTCATTTTTTATTATCAGTTTTGAGAAATTGACTGACAGGGATTTTCTACATGTACATTTGTTGTGGATATATATATATATATAAAAAAGTATTTTTTTTGGTCATCTGTCTATCATAAGCAACAATTGTACATATATATAATTTGATGACTACATTCATACATACATTCATGTATATATCAAACAGAGAGCTACATACATTGTTCAGAAAATATAATGTAGTCATTGATGTGCATCATTCAGATGAAATAAAATCTAAGAATTTGTGAGTTGCGGGGGGGGGGGGGGGGGGGGGGGGTCATAAAATCAATAATATTCCACAATTCAAGAGAATGTCAGTATTCAATCATCCAGATTTGGGCCTTATAGTTCAAACTATCAGTGTCGAGCAGCTTTTTGAAACAAATTTTGGTGAAGTGAAAATTGAAATGGGACCACCTGATGTTCACATTCTATTGATGATAACAGATGAGAAAATCTGGGTTTATTCCTTCACTGTTTATGTTAATTATCACATGTTTTACGTCGTTTATCATATTCATACTCGCACAAAATCTGACAATTTTATGGTGATTTATTTTTTATGTAAATACTGAATATTAAGGTTCATCGTACCTACATGTATGTTGATTTATATAAAATCTACTTCAATGCCAACGATTTTCCAAAAAATAATATAATTTATTATCAAAATGTATCAAATGCATACCATTTCAGTATATAACTTGCTGGGCAAAATTTTGACAGATATGGTTCTTTTATTTGACAATATTATATAGGAATAATAATCATTTATCCCAGTTAAGAGTTATCTCTCTTTTCAGAGGGTCAATGAACCTTTAAGTTCATCATTATTCTATTACCATAATTCCAGTATACTATATTCTTATTTACTCTTTTGGTATCGCTTTTTTTTGTCATGAAGGGTATATGTTAATTATGGGTAGTGGTAGTTAAGTCAATGGCGGATCCAGAATTCTTGAAAAAAAAAAGGGGGCAGGGGGCAAAGCGCTGAAAGCTCTCAGGTTTTAGATTTTTAAAAAAATTTAACAGTTTTTCGACTTATCTTAGCTATTTTTGGTTTAATTAATTCAATACCCCCCCCCCCCCAACATTTATGAATCTTTAAGTATATTTCTGCGTACAAAATGGGGAGGGGGGCACCCTGTCCCCTCTAAATCCGTCAGTTTAAGTGGTATATTTTCCAAACATTTCGATCCCTTATGAGGAGATGCACAATAATATGAATTATTCAAGACGAATACTGATTTCAAGAGTTTGTCATGGAGATCGCTTATTTTTATTATTATTTTTTTTAAGAAAAAAAGAAACCCTTGATATAATTCTAAAAGTTTAATTTTCGCTATATAGTTACGTGTATCGTAAATTCACAAAATTGGGTCAAAATGTTAGTAAAGCAAGCCTTATTGTAAAGAATGTACATTGTAGATAACAGAGATAATGGACACCATGATTGCACGGGAGACATTTCTCGTTGTATTCTTTTTTCTCATCTTCAACATTCTAAAGGAAGGGCACTGTGAGATGACAGCGAGAGAAGTACATGAAGAAGTTCTTGAGCTTCGACAGCTCATCAGCAAGCTGAGCAAAACTGTTCATTCTCAGAATAATCGAATTACCTATCTTCAAAACGCTTTCCGAAAACAGCGAATAGATTGTCAAAGAACTCTTTATACACAAGAGACAAAGGTTTTTGATTCCAGTGTGGTTGTAAGCGACAATCTCGTTCCAACACAAGAGAACGTTTCATCTCTTAGTAATTTGAATGCTGTGCAAGGAATTAAGACCAACGAAAATCGTCCAATCGTTGAAAGTGCTAAACCTATTGCAGCTCGTCCTTCTGTTATTCGAAAGGGTAAATATTAAGGCCATCTTTAAAATAATGTTTGCTTGCCCTCTCCCAACTCAGGGTAAAAAAAAAAAATGGTTCGGTAGGTAGGTGTCGAAAATTTTCCCCCAGAAAATTTCAAAATACACGTTTACAGGAAAAAAATATCATTTCCTGGAGGTTAAAAAAAGTTTTGAATCGGGTTACTTTTAGCCAGTCGGTCGGGAGAGGCAAATAAACATTTTTTTTAAAGATGGCATTAACAAACTGCATTTGGTAATTACAGTTGAACTTTGATATCTCAGACTAGAGGACTAGAGAATTTACGGAAAAACAGGAATACATGTATGCCAAAGATCTCTAGTTTCTGGTCCCGTCTTTATCATTAATTTAAGACTCCACTTCCACTCTCCTGAATCTTTGATAATTTCAAGAAACTTTTCAGTTCCATCATATCCATTGGGTTCAAAATATGTAGCAATGTATTTAACTTTCCTACATTTTTTGCCCCTTCTTTTAAACAATGCAGATGTAGTGTCAAATTCAAATCTATTGATGATACCAATTTTATCCCTGTTCATCCAATTGCTTTTTTTTTAGGTTTATTAGTGTAGGGAGATTTTGGTACCAATATTAAGGCATCTTAAATGTCGACTTTAATTTTTCATTTTATAGTCACGTAATTCCAATATTAAGGAATGCGGATAAAGGTTTGATTCAATGATGCGATAACGATGACGCGATGGTGTGATAGCTCAATTACCATGAAAAGATGGCGATAATGCTATGACGATGGTGCAATGACACGGTAAGTGCGACGACGCAATGATACATTAGTGATAACGCGGATGATAATGATGATGGTGCGATGACGATGAGGCGATACTCGCTATCAGTTCATCCTCCCATCGCAGAATTGTCATAGCATTATAGTGTCATCACGTTGAATACGTAGTTTTCTATTGCACCATCGCCGTTTGGGTCGATGACGCGATCATGCAAAGATGGTGTTGATGCAATGACGATGAGCGATAGCGCAATGACACTGGTGCAATGGCACGATGACCCAATAAAACGACGGCGATGACAATTACGCGATGTTCATTATCGCTCTACGGTCTTCATATTCATCATTGCGCTATCGCACCGTCGCGTCATCGTCATTATCATCGTGTCTTTGCGCCATCGACCCAATAGTCGATGATATGGACAGGGATGGGGTCAATTACATAGGAAAGCAATTAATTAAATTACAATTACTTGCCCAAAACTTTCAGTTAAATTACCACTACAAGGATTTTGAATGTAAATGATTAAACAACAATTACATATGTACTTTGCAAATGTAATTAATTAAATTACAATATTAAATTACATTTTAAGAAGACGTTTAAATAAATTGCTAAGATCGAATGTTCTTTTATATTCATATCAGATTCAGTTACAACTGTTACATTTTTTATTTACATGTTCATGAAATTATCAATTATTGTGTCCCCTAACCTACATTTATCAGGTTTGAAGATTTTCCTGTCACATTGAAGACACTTTCTACTGGAGCATTTGTGACAGGAATAAATAGATACTGACTAGTAGCAGGTTTACTCATATTTATACCATATGATGCGATTGTACAACTATAACAAAGCAAAATGTAATAAACTGAGATTATTACATTTTGCATCGAGGTGAATGCAGAATGTAATAACGCGAAGTGTAATACAATGTAACACATTTTTGGGATAATTATATTCTGCGTTGACCTCGATGCAAAGTGTAATAACGCAAAATGTAAAAACATACTTTTTGGAGTTTTTATATGTAATATCGAAGAATCTAATTATCACTTTTAATGTTCACAAATATTTTTTATTGAGAAAGTGGATAACAGTAGATTGCAATCAATTAAATTTTCTTTATAAATCTTTGAGTACTTCAAAATATTTCTAAATTTCCTGCCGGTAAACGTTTTACATTGTTCCAGAGGCGAAGTTTATTAAAACAAAATATCATTAGCCTTGTTAGTTGCCATAACAAAATGATAACCATATTTTTGAACTTTTGGTAGTTTTCTTGTTTGAGTTCTTCTTATACCACAAAATATTCTTATATTTAATCGAATGGGGTTTGATTTTATTTACAGCATACATGTACGTTATGATAAATATTGCATGTAATTGAGTGTAACATTGAAAAATTTCACCCCAAGAAAACCATTGTCAACCGAGGCGCAGCCGAGGTTGACAATGGTTTTCGAGGGTTGAAAATTTTTAATGTTACACTCAACTACATGCAATACATGTATTTATAATATTATACTGAATGTTTTATACAAATACATTGTGAACCGTGCGCGCATAAATTCTGCGCAGTCACTATTTTTTGGAATATCACCCGTCGTCAAGCATTGTTGACTGTTGCTACGCTGGAGGGTGGCTTCATCATTCAGCGGGTAATAGTGTTTTTAAACAAATGTTTCTCGACGAATCAGATTCAACTAATCTACATGAAAGTATAATAATATTACATTCTGCGTTGATTTCAACGCAAAATATACTAATCCCAGTTAATTACATTTTGCGTCGTTATTACATTTTGCGATGTAATAATAAACAATGCCATGACAATGTTGCGATGGCACAATGAAGCGATAGCGCAATGACCTGGTGGTAAGGTATCAATAGTGAGTACTAGTATCGCTTCATCGTCATCGTACCATTGCGCTATCGCTTCATAGTGCCATCACACCATCGTCATCGCATAAGACCGAAAACAGTAAACAAATGCAATACTTGTAGTATCGTTTTTGATAACTAACCTGAAAAAAAAAACTTTGAAAAGAATAAGTAAAATTAAAAAATTAAGAAAAAAATCTAATTCCGTGGGGTGGGGTGGGTGGGTTATGTCCCAACTTTTTCCACTCCATGGGACGATTTAAATATGCTGCAGTAATATTAAAGGTGTTATTTGAAAAAAGAAATGCGTGGTGGTGGTGGTGTGGGGGGGGGGGGGGTACGTGTCTGATAAAAATTACATTTAAAAATAGAAAACATTTTTAAACTGTAAAACGTGTTTCATTTTTGAATACTACAGAACGACTTTTGATACCGATAACTCAACCACCCCATCCAACTCCAGCACACAGGACTATAGCATTCTACGCTTATTTCTCCTCTGATGTTTCACACACAGGACAGGGACAAATTCTAAAATTCGATGTTGTTAAAACCAACGCTGGAAACGCGTACCATAAAAGCTCTGGAGTTTTCATCGCCCCTGAGTCGGGATACTACGCTTTTAGTTGGACCAGTAGAATAAAGCATTATGGAGGCACTGGGGAGGATCACGCTTTGGAACTGGTTGTTAATAGTGATATCTACGGGAGTATTTACATGAAGTCTCTCACTGGCGAGGATGGACAGGCGACTGGTGTAGCCATTGCGCATGTCAACCAGGGTGATGACGTCTATATTCAAACACATTCCCGGGATCCTGGTTCTGGTGCTATTCGTAGTGATTTGTATGGCAGATCGTCATTCTCAGGTTGGAAGTTGTACTAAAAACATCTGTATGACAAAGATCGATTTCAACTCTTAATCTCAACATACACACCTGGTTTCGTATATATTTTAAAACGATAAATGCAGTTTGAGTTTTGACATGAACACAATAAAATGTTGAAAAACCTATTCCACTGCAATGTTTTAAGACGAGTTTCACTTGCATAGACGTTCCGAGTTAAAAGTTTGAAACGTTGAAGAAAAGTTTGTTTTCCCTATACAAAAAGAAACAAACATCTTCTCGCATAAAAATGGATGGATCCTATACTATAAAAATCATATCATGTCGCATAAAATAAATTTAACTTCCGTAACTTCTTTGTTTTAAATTACACACAAATCAAGCCTAACTGACAATGAACTGGAACTGGAAGAGACCATAAATCTTCATGTGATCAATTCTAATTAGATCATTACTTTTTCGACGTAACAAAATGAATTAGACAATTATTGTCTCTCTTAAAAATTTACTTATAACTTTTGATTATAACGTCTTCTATGATTTCTACTGTACAATCTGATTAAAATCAAATTTTAGGAATATGAAAATTCTCATTTGTTGCACTTTTAGTAATTCTAGTAACATTATTATTGAAAACAAAATGGTCACAGTGGTAATACTCTTCTTTGACCAATGTTTAAAATAAACCCATTCTAAATAGTTTTAATGTACTAGTAATTTTGACGTTGTTTCTTTATTCTATAATACTGTGAAGAACAGACATAGTCAAAATTACATATTTGTTTCAAAGCAAAACAATGGACCTTTCTAGACTGTTAAGACAAGATGCAATTCTATGTAAAGATATAGATTTGGTGTTGCCTTTTATGTAAAACTTAATACAATATTTTCACAAGAGAGAAACTTATAAACGCATATTCCTAAATATTATTTTGATACTTTCGGAACATGACCATTAAACAAAATTTTAAAAATCTGCAATTTTTAGTTTTCATGGTAAACAATATATGATGAATTCTGCTTCACCTAAATGAAATGACAATCTGTTCTCGACTAACCACAGATCCTTTGATCCGCTCACATAGATCGCTACACAAGGATCTGATCCTTGTGTAGCGATCTATGTGAGCAGATCTAATCAGATTGTTCTATTGTATGACTTTATTTTCGCTGAAAATTAACTTACGTAAAGATCCACTTCAACGATTTTTCCACGAAATTTTAATTTTATTCCAGATTCGTGGGAGATTTTATAAAATAATGTTTTGCTATTCAACCAAAAAACAACAGGCCAATTTGAAGTTTATTTTAATAATAATACATCTTGTTTATAAGCATTTATAACTTCCATAACATTGCCTTATGACCACGGATACTAGTATATAGAAATTGTTGTAACATGTTAACGATTCCAGATTTGTAGATAATTCTTTTTCCAAGTGCATTGATATGTCCTTTAGAGAATTGTATTTTGCAATCGGCAAGTTGAAATTTTTTTTTGCTTCATGTTATATACCCTGAATCGGTCCTTTTATCGTAGAATGATCGTGAAGATTTTCTTGTCCTTTTTCTGTTAAACAAGCACAGTCACAAAGCCTGCATGCTCAGGGCATTGAATTATACTTCATAAGTTATAATGTAGGCGAAAACAAGTGTACGTTTGAACACCCATACCACTAAATCTGACCTATCCCCTTCCTCCGGGCTAAGTTATTCTAGTAAGGCCAAAATAAAAATACCTTTGTTTCCCCTAACGCGACCGACCCAATTAAATCCCGCCGACTGAAAAGTTTTTTTTTATAAGAAGATTATTCAAATAATTTTTTTTAATGTTTATCAACTTTTATAAAGTACAATTTCATGAAAACCCATTCTTATCAGAAATTCAGAATGTATTTTCAAAGCTGCTGTCAGAAAAAAAAAATTATTTACCTACCTACCTACCCAACTTCAAATTTTAGGGTCGGGTTAGGGGAAAAAAAGATATTTTTAATGATGGCCTAATATTGGTATTATCATCGATTTTAATTTTCTCTCTTTTTCGTAGAAAATTACTCAAGTCCGATATCATAATCGCCATTGCCACTTTTGACACTGTGGTAAAATTTTAGGTGATTATCCTCCGTTGTCATACACTTCTTAACTGCTGGAATGTCTGCCATTCTCTTCAGATACGCCATCAAATTTGGTTTTAATCCATCTGTCAGAAATACTTGATTGACCAACTTTTCCATTGCGGAGAATCGTTCAATCCAGGGCCACACCAAGAAATCTATCATTTGAACATTATCGCCTAGAAAGAAAAAAAAATACCACATGAATAAAATATGTGCAGTACTATTTCAAAATGGAATTCTATTTCCATAAATACGCATGCGCCATGTATGCTATAAATGCCTTTTGGCAGAGGGGTCGGTAACATACTATGCTTGAATTGATGATCTCGTTAAATCACGCGTTGTTTATGTTGCTGGTCCCTGTGCCTTTCGGCATCAAAACGGGCATAGCCGCTTTGGGTATATACATGTAAGTACTTGACTCCTTACATGCATTTCCTGTTCAGATGCAAGCGTAAATTTAGAAAATAATAGATTTACCACTAACTATGAAACTGGAAATTAAAAATACATGTTTTATGAAAGATCCTCCAATCTTCTGTTTGTGATTTTATTTTCTCATTCTGATGATAACAATTGCTTTACCTCCAAAGAATTTTCCCCTCTTTTCCAATTCTTTGTCAAATTCCGACAGTAATTTGCCGAGAGCCTCGGCCGTCGCTGGAAAGCTGTCCGGTGTACCAAAGTAGAATTTGTAATATTGCGTAGTCACCTAGAAGTGTAAAGATATATATAATTTCTTATGGTCTTTTTTATACAAATGATTCAATTTCAATATAAAACACAGTTATAGTATGTGTACTATCTATCAGATAATGAAAGGCGGATAAATTTTTACGCATCATACATGCGGTTTTGCAAAATTAGTTACAAATTACTTTGGTCATAATTTCAATTAAATACAAAAAAAAAAAGAATTACCCATATTAACTATCGCAAAAAGTATTTTCTCCAGGCTCCTCCTCATTTTTTTTTTTTTTTTTTTTTTTTTTTTTTTTTTAGTTGAACTTCGGTATCTCGAACACCGATATCTCGAATATCATGGATATGTCGAAGTGATTTTGAAGGCCCAACCCCTTATTGCAGCCCGGAGGACCGGGCTGCTCTATACATATAAGTTTAAGTGTTGGTATATGGGGATTGAGGTGGGAGAAGTTATTCAGAATTAAAGGTTTTCTAAACATTAAAAAGATTGTTAATCAGAATGTTCTTTCCCTTTATAAATTACGAGATACACAATATCTTTACTTCCATAAAGTGAATCTGTAAAAATATATATGTTTTTCATATTTAATATAAAAAGTTGCTTATCATTTACTATCGAAAAAACGACAGGTCCCTTTTTTTAGAATATCGAATTTTACTTATCGCATAAAAACGTAAAAATGTACTTTACACAGTTCGTGTTTTATATTCTTAAAGTGAAAGATATTTTTGAAAATAGGTGATGCATGTGTCTGGTTTCAAATTATATTTTATGCAGCCAACATTTACTTGAGGAATTGGTAAAGTTTAAAAGGGTATCGTTTTTGTTCGAGTTTCATCCGACTATAAGTTTTCAAAATATTCTCGACTATCGTCTCCATCATTTAAACGCATGCCTTTTTCACACACATCGAAGCGGTTTGATGATAAAGACTCATTTCCATTGTTTACTTTATTTATTTCCAGGGCGACAATTGATGGTTACATCAATGTTTTCTTGTTATTTATCAATATAAGTATTTTACCCTGGATCACAGGCACTTGTTTCTGTAATAAATTTTTGACCCATAGTTTAATAATGGGTCAAAAATTTATTACAGAAACAAGTGCCTGTGCTCTGGATATCTCGAATCCTTAGATATCTTCAAGTTTTTAGCTCACCTGAGCCAAAGGCTCAAGTGAGCTTTTCTGATCAAAATTTGTCCGTTGTCTGTCGTCGTTGTTGTCGTTGTCATTGTTGTTGTAAACTTTTCACATTTTCATCTTCTTCTCAAGAACCGCTGGGCCAATTTCAACCAAACTTGCCACAAAGTATCCTTGGGTAAAGGGGATTCAAGTTTGTTCAAATGAAGGGCCACGCCTTCTTCCAAGGGGAGATAATTAAGAATTTGTGAAAAATTAATGGCATCATTAAAAAATCTTCTTCTCAGAACCACTGTGCTTGAAAATATGAAACTTATGTGGAAGCATCCTCAGGTAGTGTAGATTCAAGTTTGTTCAAATCATGACCCTCGGGGGTCGGGGTGGGGCCACAATGGGCGATCAAAGTTTTACATAGGAATATATAGGAAAAATCTTTAAAAATCTTCTTCTCAAGAGCAGCAAAGCCATGATTGGTCATATTTATATGGTAGCATCCTCAGATAGTGTAGATTCAAGTTTGTTCAAATCGTGACCCCCGGGGGTCGGGTGGGGCCACAATGGGCGATCAAAGTTTTACATAGGAATATATAGGAACAAGAGGCCCATGGGCCACATCGCTCACCTGAGCACATTGGCAAGGCAAAAGCACAAATCAGTTCAGTATTGAAGTATTGAAAAGATTACTTGGGGGGGGGGAGGGGGGGGGGCTTGAATTTTAAACTACCTGATGATGCTTCCATGTCAATATATAATTTGTTTTAACAAATGGCTTTGTTGTACTTGAGAAGATTTTTTAAAAAAATTCCCATATATTCCTCTGTAAAAATTTGATCCCCCATTGTGGCTCCTCTCTATCCCAGGGGTCATCATTTGAACAAACTTGAATCTACACTACCTGAGGATGCTTCCATATCAATATGACTAAACATAGCTTTTCTGTTCTTGAGAAGAAATTTTTTTCTATATGTTCCTATGTAAAACTTTCGATCCCCTTATTGGGCCCCACCCTACCCTCGGGGGTCATCATTTTAACAAAATTGAATTTACACTACCTGAGGATGCTTCCATATCAAAATGACTAAACATGATTTTCAGTTCTTGAGAAGAAGATATTTTCCTATATGTTCCTATGTAAAATTTTCGATCCCCCATTATGGCCCATCCCTATTCCCTGGGGTCATCATTTTAACAAACTTGAATCTACACTACCTGAGGATGCTTCCATATCAAAATGACTAATCATGGCTTTGCAGTTCTTCATCAGAACATATCTTCCTATATATTTCTATGTAAAACTTTGATCCTCCATTGTGGCCCCGCCCTACCCCCGGGGGGTCATGATTTGAACAAACTTGAATCTACACTACCTGAGGATGCTTCCATATAAATATGACTCATCATGGCTTTGCTGTTATTGAGAAGAAGATTTTTAAAGATTTTTCCTATATATTTCTATGTAAAACTTTGATCCTCCATTGTGGCCCCGCCCTACCCCCAGGGGTCATGATTTGGACAAACTTGAATCCACACTACCTGAGGATGCTTCCATATAAATATGACCAATTAGGGCTTTGCTGTTATTGAGAAGAAGATTTTTAAAGGTTTTTCCTATATATTTCTATGTAAAACTTTGATCCTCCATTGTTGCCCCGCCCTACCCCCGGGGGTCTTGATTTGAACAAACTTGAATCTACACTACCTGAGGATGCTTCCATATAAATATGACTCATCATGGCTTTGCTGTTATTGAGAAGAAGATTTTTAAAGGTTTTTCCTATATATTTCTATGTAAAACTTTGATCCTCCATTGTGGCCCCGCCCTACCCCCGGGGGTCTTGATTTGAACAAACTTGAATCTACACTACCTGAGGATGCTTCCATATAAATATGACTCATCATGGCTTTGCTGTTATTGAGAAGAAGATTTTTAAAGATTTTTCCTATATATTTCTATGTAAAACTTTGATCCTCCATTGTGGCCCCACCCTACCCCCAGGGGTCATGATTTGAACAAACTTGAATCTACACTACCTGAGGATGCTTCCATATAAATATGACTCATCATGGCTTTGCTGTTCTTGAGAAGAAGATTTTTAAAGGTTTTTCCTATATATTTCTATGTAAAACTTTGATCCTCCACTGTGGCCCCGCCCTACCCCCGGGGGTCATGATTTGAACAAACTTGAATCTACACTACCTGAGGATGCTTTCACATGAGTTTCATCTTCCCTGACTTTGTGGTTCTTGAGAAGAAGATTTTTAAAAGATTCTACTAATTTTTCACTAATTCTTCATTATCTCCCCTTGAAAGAGGGCGTGGCCCTTCATTTGAACAAACTTGAATCCCCTTCACCCAAGGATACTTTGTGGCAAGTTTGGTTGAAATTGGCCCGGTGGTTCTTGAGAAGAAGTCGAAAATGTGAAAAGTTTACAGACGGACGGACGGACAGACAGACAGACAGACAGACGGACAGACGGACTACAGACAAAATGTGATCAGAAAAGCTCACTTGAGCCTTCGGCTCAGGTGAGCTAAAAATCTTTAAAAATCTTCTTCTCAAGAACAGCAAAGCCATGATTGGTCATATTTACATGGAAGCATCCTCAGATAGTGTAGATTCAAATTTGTTCAAATTATGACACCCGGGGGTCGGATTGGGCCACAATGGGCGATCAAAGTTTTACATAGGAATATATAGGAAAAATCTTTAAAAATCTTCTTCTCAAGAACAGCAAAGCCATGATTGGTCATATTTACATGGAGGCATTATCAGATAGTGTAGATTCAAGTTTGTTCAAATCGTGACCCCCGGGGGTCGGATTGGGCCACAATGGGCGATCAAAGTTTTACATAGGAATATATAGGAAAAATCTTTAAAAATCTTCTTCTCAAGAACAGCAAAGCCATGATTGGTCATATTTACATGGAAGCATCCTCAGATAGTGTAGATTCAAGTTTGTTCAAATCGTGACCCCCGGGGGTCGGGTGGGGCCACAATGGGCGATCAAAGTTTTACATAGGAATATATAGGAAAAATCTTTAAAAATCTTCTTCTCAAGAACAGCAAAGCCATGATTGGTCATATTTACATGGAAGCATCCTCAGATAGTGTAGATTCAAATTTGTTCAAATTATGACACCCGGGGGTCGGATTGGGCCACAATGGGCGATCAAAGTTTTACATAGGAATATATAGGAAAAATCTTTAAAAATCTTCTTCTCAAGAACAGCAAAGCCATGATTGGTCATATTTACATGGAAGCATCCTCAGATAGTGTAGATTCAAATTTGTTCAAATTATGACACCCGGGGGTCGGATTGGACCACAATGGGCGATCAAAGTTTAACATAGGAATATATAGGAAAAATCTTTAAAAATCTTCTTCTCAAGAACAGCAAAGCCATGATTGGTCATATTTACATGGAGGCATCATAAGATAGTGTAGATTCAAGTTTGTTCAAATCATGATCCCCGGGGGTCGGGTGGGGCCACAATGGGCGATCAAAGTTTTACATAGGAATATATACGAAAAATCTTTAAAAATCTTCTTCTCAAGAACAGCAAAGCCATGATTGGTCATATTTACATGGAGGCATTATCAGATAGTGTAGATTCAAGTTTGTTCAAATCGTGACCCCTGGGGGTCGTGTGGGGCCACAATGGGCGATCAAAGTTTTACATAGGAATATATAGGAAAAATCTTTAAAAATCTTCTTCTCAAGAGCAGCAAAGCCATGATTGGTCATATTTATATGGTAGCATCCTCAGGTAGTGTAGATTCAAGTTTGTTCAAATCGTGACCCCCGGGGGTCGGGTGGGGCCACAATGGGCGATCAAAGTTTTACATAGGAATATATAGGAAAAATCTTTAAAAATCTTCTTCTCAAGAGCACAAAAGCCATGATTGGTCATATTTATATGGTAGCATCCTCAGATAGTGTAGATTCAAGTTTGTTCAAATCGTGACCCCCGGGGGTCGGGTGGGGCCACAATGGGCGATCAAAGTTTTACATAGGAATATATAGGAAAAATCTTTAAAAATCTTCTTCTCAAGAACAGCAAAGCCATGATTGGTCATATTTACATGGAAGCATCCTCAGATAGTGTAGATTCAAATTTGTTCAAATTATGACACCCGGGGGTCGGATTGGGCCACAATGGGCGATCAAAGTTTTACATAGGAATATATAGGAAAAATCTTGAAAAATCTTCTTCTCAAGAACAGCAAAGCCATGATTGGTCATATTTACATGGAGGCAATATCAGATAGTGTAGATTCAAGTTTGTTCAAATCATGACCCCCGGGGGTCGGGTGGGGCCACAATGGGCGATCAAAGTTTTACATAGGAATATATAGGAAAAATCTTTAAAAATCTTCTTCTCAAGAACAGCAAAGCCATAATTGGTCATATTTACATGGAAGCATCTTCAGATAGTGTAGATTCAAGTTTGTTCAAATCATGACCCCCAGGGGTAGGGTGTGGCCACAATGGGCAATCAAAGTTTTACATAGGAATATATAGGAAAAATCTTTAAAAATCTTCTTCTCAAGAACAGCAACGCCATGATTGGTCAGATTTACATGGAAGCATCCTCAGATAGTGTACATTTAAATTTGTTCAACTCATGACCCCTGGGGGTCGGGTGGGGCCACAATGGGCGATCAAAGTTTCACATAGAAACAAGTAGTAAAAATCTTTAAAAAAAACTATTTCTTAAGAACAGCAAAGCCATGTTATGCATATTCATATTCATATGGAAGCATTCTTAGATAGTGTACATTCAAGTTTGTTCAAACATGACCCCTGGGGGTCGGGTGGGGCCACAATGGGTGATCAAAGTTTTACATATGAATACATAGGTTAAATCTTTAAAAATCTTCTACTCAAGAACAGCAAAGCCATGATTGGTCATATTTAAATGGAAGCATCCTCAGATAATGTAGATTCAAATTTGTTCAATTCATGACACCCCTCCCCCCACACTTTTATATTTAAACTTTTCAACCTTTCAAGACTGAACTGATTTCTGCTTTTTTCTAGCCATAGTGCTCAGGTGAGCGATGTGGCCCCTGGGCCTCTTGTTTCTCGGTCCCATGGAGTTCCAGATAACGAGGTTTGACTGCATATGAGATTAATTTTATTAAAATGTTCATTCTATGTCGTATTTGTGCTATAAAAGGACAATCTATAAAAATATCTAAAAGAACAATAAAATAAATAAATAAATAAACGAAAAATCCCTAGGTTGAGAAAATACTAAAGGAGGTGGTCCTGTTCACAAGCACCTGTGTCATTTATATATTAAGTTGGATATATACCTGTCCATAATGTGAAAGTAACATCCTGTCCTTAGCTTGTTGATATGGGTCATCAGGGGTCAATTTGTTGTTTGGATACACCTGGTCTAAATAATCACAACAAATGTCCGATTCGTAAATGATCTTGCCATCTTTCTCAAGCGCGGGGACCTTTCCCAAGGGGTTGATTTTTTCCAGGTACCATTCAGGCTTTTTGCTCAGGTTAATATTGACCACTTCATGTCTGGGGGAAAATATTGCATGCCGATATAAATCAGATCAAATCTAAGCATAATACTTTTTTTTTGTAAATATGAGAGAGAGAGAGAGAGGGGGGGGGGGGGCAACATCCAATAATTATTCGAAATTATTCTAGAATGTACATGTAATCTTTCGGAAAAAAACTTGCTGCAATCGTAATGGCCACAGAATCAAATTCACGTATCTGGGAACATTTTGTTTGAACATCCACAAATAGTTACCACAAACATGTATCTAAATTTACGTATTCAAGTAAAGAACACATCCAGAGGATAGACTCTTTTGTACATGTGTTTTGAGTTTTCAGGTACAGTTATTTAATATCTAACGATCATGAAGAGAAAGAAACGTAAATATATAGCAATAGAAATTTTATATTTATAAAAGCATGTCATACCACCGCTGAGGAAGAAATAAGATGGGCAAAAAATTCTAAATATTCGTAGATTTCTTGCATTTTTGTGCGTAAAAATCTACTACATGTACTTTTTTCAAACCTGACTTTAATTCAATTGCAACTTAAAGCCTGTCTACAAAATCTATAAAGAAATCGCGGAAAAAAGGTAGCCTAAGTCTTGCTTAACAATAAACTACAATTTTTGCTTTAATCCTGAAGCGTTGACGATTCTGGTCCGACACAGATCACCTCTAGTATGGCATGTCAAACGTTGCAATATTCGATCTTTTCCATTTGTATTGTATAACTTTCCATTTGTATTGTATAATTTTTCATTTGTATTGTATAATTTTTCATTTGTATAATTTTCCATTTGTATTGTATAATTTTTATTTGTATTCTATAATTTTCCATTTGGATTTTATAATTTTCCATTTGGATTGTATAATGTTTATTTGTATTCTATATTTTCCATTTGTGTTGTAAAAAAAATCATTTGTATTGTATCATTTTTCATTTGTATTCTATATTTTCCATTTGCATTGTATAATTTCTTATTTGTATTGTATAATTTCTTATTTGTATGCGATAATTTTTCATTTGTATTGTATCCGAGGATTGTTTATTTATTTCGTTACGAAGGATGTCATTGGTCATAAAATTTAGTCTGTATAAAGGTCTCAGGTGCCCATCACAAACTTAGTCTGGTACCCTCCCCACAATTCCGATTGCGCACTCTCTACAAACACAAACTCGGCTCCTCTATTTGCGGTGCATGCTAAGGGACGACCATTTGATTCTCGGGGGGTGTCGAATCCGATTATTTATTTTCATTCTCTCGCAGGAGAGAATATTTATTTCCAATATGACCAGAGACAAGGAGAAAAACAAAAAGAAGAAAATCCGCCCAAACCCGAAAACTCAGTTTTTTGGGGGTGGGGGTAGTTACCACCACTCAAGGTCAATTAATTTATTTTCTCAGTCAGCATTTCTAAGGACAGATTATTTATTTGCCATCTACCAGCGCTCCCTTTTTAGAATCCAATGACCGTCTAACATGCACGCAAATACGTATGCCGCCGAAATATGGCTGAAATATTACCGACTCGGCGTTAAACAATAATCAATCAATCAATCAAGCAAATACAGCTTTGAGCATCCGGAACATCTTCAACCCGATACAGGCTGAAACTTGACCAATGAAATCCTTCGTAACGAAACAAATAAACAGTCCGCGGATACAATACAAATGAAAAATTATCGCATACAAATAAGAAATTTTACAATACAAATAAGAAATTATACAATGCAAATGGAAAATTATACAATACAAATAAAAATTATACAATACAAATGAAAATTATACAATACAAATAGAAAATTATACAATACAAATAAAAATTATACAATACAAATGAAAAATTATACAATACAAATAGAAAATTATACAATACAAATAAAAATTATACAATACAAATAAAAATTATACAATACAAATGAAAAATTATACAATGCAAATGGAAAAGATCGAATATTGCAACGTTTGACATGCCATACTCTAGACTTATTTTTCAATTTTATGCATAAAACCTTTTCAGAGATGTATAAGCAAGATTGTCAAAATTGCTTTTTGGATTTTTCCTAAATTCAAGAGTTTTAGGCAGAAATACAGTAGTACATTGTCTTCAAGCTTTAACCTCATTTCCCTGCTACTTATTAAACACACCCAGCAATTTTTTTAAATAGTTTTTTTTTTCAGTTTTAAATCAAACAATATAATTGTTCGGAAGCCTTTTAGGATCAAACTACGATAATTTTTTAAGGCGTTAAAAACGCAAAGAGAACACGCGTAAAAATACATAAAGAAGATGTATTTGTGAAACACTGATGCCCCCGTATGGCAACTTATAGCAAAGGTTAAACTTTCTCAAATGCAAACCAAATATGTTGGTACCCAAATTAAGGTCTTGTCTCGAGAAATATACCTGTGAAATATGAGAGCCCTAGCAGCAACCATTGAATAGATATGGAAAAGGTTAAAGTCAAGGTCAAATGGTCAAAATTAATGGTACCTAAGGAAAGGCCTTCTCACAAGAAATATACTGGTGAAATATGAAAGCTGAAGCACCAATCGTTCAAAAGTTATGACCTAGGTTTTAGTTTTTCAAAAGTAGGTCAAACTCCAAGATCAAGGTCAATGGATTACAATTGTTGGTATCCAAAGGAAGGTCTTGTCACAAGAATTACATATGTGAATTATGAAAGCCCTAGCACCAAAGGTTCAAAAGTTATGGCCAAGGTTAAAGTTTTCCAAAAATAGGTCAAACTCCAAGGTCAAGGTCAAAGGGTCTAAGTTGTGAGTATCCAAAGGAAGGTCTTGTCACAAGAATTACATATGTGAAGTATGACAGCCTTAGCACCAACGGTTCAAAAGTTACGGCCAATGTTATAGTTTTTCAAAAGTAGGTCAAACTCCAAGGTCAAGGTCAATGGATTACAATTGTTGGTATCCAAAGGAAGGTCTTGTCACAAGAATTACATATGTGAATTATGAAAGCCCTAGCACCAAAGGTTCAAAAGTTATGGCCAAGGTTAAAGTTTTCCAAAAATAGGTCAAACTCCAAGGTCAAGGTCAAAGGGTCTAAGTTGTGAGTATCCAAAGGAAGGTCTTGTCACAAGAATTACATATGTGAAGTGTGAAAGCCTTAGCACCAACGGTTCAAAAGTTACGGCCAATGTTATAGTTTTTCAAAAGTAGGTCAAACTCCACGGTCAAGGTCAAAGTTGTTGGTATCCAAAGGAAGGTCTTGTCACAAGCATTACACATGTGAAGTATGAAAGCCTTAGCACCAACAATTCAAAAGTTATGACCAATGTTAAAGTTTTTCAAAAGTAGGTCAAACTCCAAGGTCAAGGTCAAAGGGTCAGAGTTGTTGGTTTCAAAAGAAAGGTCTTGTCACAAGGATTACACATGTGAAGTATGAAAGCCCTAGCACCAATTGTTCAAAAGTTATGGCCAAGGTTAAAGTTGGGTAAAATTTTGCAAAACTGGGTCAAACTCCAAGGTCAAGATCAAAAGGTCAAATATGGTGGTACCAAAGAAAGGTCTTGTCACAAGGAATACACATGTGAAATATCAAAGCCATAGCTCCAACCAATCAAAAGTTATGGGCAATGTTAAAGTTTTTGCGTACACACAAACATACATACAGACAGACAGACAGACAGACGGACAGGGCAAAAACTATATATCCCCGAATCTTCGATACGGGGGCATAAAATGGCGTAATAGCACAAAGTGAAAACGCGTTTTTTTAACGCGAAAAAGGGCGTAATTTTGCGTTATTACGCCTTTGAAAGGCCTTGTTGCGTACACCTTTTGATTCACGTCATTACGCCTTTTTGAAAGGCACAATAACGCCTTTTTTCGCACTATACGAAGGTTGTTAGAAAAGTTCGCGGACAAGTTCTATCGTGAGCGCGCTATTTGCATGAAACCAGTAAGATTCTGCAGACAAAACTATTCACATTCTCCAATAAACATGCAAATATTTGGTGTTTTCCGGTGATCCTTAAAAAAATTACAGTTATTTCATCTAGGTAACATGCATCACGGAGCATGTCACTTTTTCAAACATTTACATTACATAGACATTTATTGCACTGTTGTAGCGCACAAAGATTTATGATAATTTACATACCGCTACAATAATCATGAAACGTCATTTGGCGAAATTTTGAATTGAATTGGAGGAATTATGACTGTTTTATCGCTAATTATAGATGACCAATGCATAAAAACAAAGTCAAGAATGGCAACGTCAATGAACGTCTTGGAGCACCGCCCTATTAAAGAAAAATATGTGTGCAGACTGGAAAATACTCGAAAGAGGCTTAAATATTCTAGATGTTGCCTACACGTATTTAGGACCAAAGTGTTCAAATCGTAGTAGCTTAATAAGAATAAGAATGGAAGGATTGACATTTTTAATGATCAACTCTTGTGATACCCCAATTCCCCGCATGGACGTTGCACCTGTCATGTTCCATATTTTGAACTTACCGGGTGGGCGTAAATACAAAATTTAGAACATGACAACTATTGTCATGTTCTAAATTTGGTATTTACGCCCACCCGGTGAATTCAAAATTTAGAACATGATACACCTATGGATTTTGCATTGTTTCCATATACTTTGTAGACATCGATTTTAAGATTTCACTAATCCGATACGCCACAATAAGAAATTTTAGAAAAAAGTAACGTCTTTATGTAGTAATTTGATTTTTAAGTAGGAAAAAAAAGCATGAAAATCTACAGAAATGAAAGATATTTAGAACTGTGAAAAGGCTTAACAAGTTTGGAAACAAGTTGTCACGTCACCTAACGTTAAGCGATTGCTCCCTGAATCCTATGACCGCACAGTAAAAAGCATCGTATATTTTCAAACTTTTTTAATAGATCTGATTTTTAAAATACTAATAAACAAAAAATAAGAAGTTAATCAGACATACACCATTCTTCAAAATACACATAACATTATCCGTAAATTAATGTGTCCGCGAACTTTTCTAACAGCCCTCGTATAATAAACTTATTTTCCCGTTATAACACATTTTCACTCGTTATTACGTTTTCCCCCTCTTTATATCGCCTTTTAACTTAGCACCACAACGCCTTTCAACCCCCCCCCCCCCCCCCCCCAAGCAGTTTGATCCTTATGCCACGCGCACTTTCGAATCTGTGCATCCATGAAAGTTTCAAGACTCACGGTATGTTCTTGTGAACAAGTACCAATCTAGTTCTTTGAGCGTATGGACAGAGACGCATGCTGTAGAGTCGGAGGGTACCAGTCTGTAGTGGCGGGAATTCCGAACCTGTCTTTAAGAAATAGTTACATGTAATTTCAACATTATGATTTCCATTTATGTAAATATTACAGTAAGTTTTCCGTCCGTTACAGTATGTCTGTATACATTTTTTTGCTTTAAAAATATTAACTACAATGAATTTCATCGACAGTTTGACTTCCTCAGTAGGTGCTGAAATGCATCACACTGATATGTCAGAAAGTTATAACGTATTCTGCACATGCCCATAGGTAGTAGTTTCATTTTTATCATTTTACAATGTATTTATTTTTGGGGGAGGGGGATCCAAACAGAAAAAATCATCAGACATTATTATTTAAGAGGAACAGACGTAAATTAGCTTTGTTTTCGTATAATTATATAACATATATAATGGCAAAATTATAAGGGATGCACTTCCACCCAGTTCCCATATATTGGGGAAAATAAGGTTTTTTTGGTGCATACATTTTTTATAATCGTGACATCGTTGGTCAGCAACACCCAAAAATCCAATTAATATATATAAAAAAAAAAGGCTTACTAATACTAACAGATGCCTTATAATCATCGTTTAAATCACTTATTAATAAAATATAATGCAAGGACATCGAGAAAACATATGTTCTATTTATAAATGAACTTCAACATTTTAATATTCTCAAGCCGTAAGAAATTTAAGGCAATATTATACATGTTTATGTCAATTTTTGATGTTCTTTAATCTATTGATTACACCGAACCAGTATATACGGAATCAAAAATTAAAACATGCCAAAAGAACCAACAGAACAGAATAAACAAACAAATCTAAAGAAACTTTTTCCAGTATTAAAATTAAATAAATATCATTGACTTGCCTGTTGAAAACGCTTTTTGAGATGCTATCGACATTTTCTGATGAGTCTGTGATCCAGGGGACACTTCTTCTTCCTGAAGAGAAAACCCAGGCTGTAGTGAGTTACGATAAATCCTAATACAAACAATGTCCCTCTCGTGTAACTTGTCACTGGCCCATCTGGTTACTCGGCTATGCGGTGAATTTAAATTTCACCAGTTAGGGTGCGGATCTAGTATTTCACTTAACGCATTTAGTTGATTTAAGGAAGCTCTAAACACTAACAAAAAGTGCTTTTTGGGCTTAGAGCAAAATATATCATAAAAAGGTGTGCATATTGAGATTATTTAGTTCATTTTAAACATAGGGTACCTGCCTTATTTCTGCAAGAAAAATGTTCAAAGACAATGGACTATGCGTGAACAGAAATCACTGTTGTTTACCAACATTGGGAAAATTAATGGAAATAATGAATTCAATTACTTATTCTTGGTCTAATATAATGCTACGAATATTTTAATCTATTACAAATTGTGTAATTAACAATAAATAACCATTTTTTCTATCTTACTCCTAAGGACAGATCACTTTAACTGTATAAAACTATCCTACAATTAGAACTCTTTAGTGTGCAGTGTTTAGAGCTTCCTTAAATAAGGAATTAAGGGGGCAATCTATGCTGTTCACATATTTATGTTTTTCGTTTTAGTATAATTTTTTTTTTAATTTTAATTATAAAATCAGTAAAATTCATTTAACACGAATTAAGAATTCTTTTTTTTTTCTTTTTTTCAAAATGTGTGAATGGATATTCAAGATGATATCATTTTTGAAAACGTGTACACATATGATCATAATTAAACCATTGACGAATCCAGCACAGGGGCCTAAGGTGACGCTCTTTACTTTTTAATGAATTTTATTTGGCAATCACACTTCGACATTTTTAATGCATATTTATTGTGGATTCATTTTCTCACTAGGAAAAAAAATGACATTAGCTCACTGTTTCAACGGATTTCTGTTGCAAACAGGTCTGGGGCCGGTAAAAAAGGGTTCTTTTTCACAAAGTTAGGTAAAAACTCCAAAAGGACTGAATTTTTTAATTCTTGAATTTTGATTAAAGAAGTTTTTTGAAATTACACTTTATATAAAGATTCGCTTGGAGGATTAGTCAAAAATCCGTCTGTATTCTTCAGTAAACTTAATAATAGATGTCATCAATATTTTAAAATCAATTCTGCCACTTTTTTGAGTTCAAAATTCCCAGTTGAAAGTGAACAGAAGGGTCAGTTAAGCTCTAATTTATGTGACATGGTTGAATATAATTGAAAAGTCACTCGGTAATATATATATATATATATATATATATATATATATATATATATATATATATATATATATATATATATATATATATATATATATATATATATATATTCACATCGGAAAATAACGCTTTCTGAAGGTGACGTTCTCTCTGACGCATTAAGACCATGCGCGGATCTAGAGGGGGGTCGGGGGGGGGGGTCAGGACCCCCCCCCTGGAATTTGCAGAGTTATAAAAAAAAGTATATACTGAAGCAAATAAAAAATGACCTTGGACCCCCTAGAAAAAAGTGGACCCCACCAACACCACCACGAAATAGGTGTTTTTCACGTTGGAAAATGGATTTTTTTTTTTGCTTGTCAAGAAATTTTCTTGGTTTATTACGTTTGGGATGGGAATTAAGTTTTTTTTTTTTGGGGGGGGGGGCTTGTTAGGAAATTTTTGGGTTAGAATTTTTTGTTGACTGGGATTTGGACCCCCTCCCCTGGAAAAAATTCCTGGATCCGCGCCTGAAGACAATACCAGATTTTTTCAATATTCTATTGTAGTTACACATTCAGTTTTACTTTAAGAATATGGAGAATTCCTGCATGTGAAATGGAAATCACAGCAAGGTAAAACGGAATAACTATAGTTCTCAATAGTAAAGTTACGGAAGCATATTAGTGCCACATAATACTTTTTAAGTTGGTAATTCCAATATGATATTAAAGTTAGCTTTTCCAACTTTAAAGTTGGTAAATCCTACTTTAAAGTTGCCTTATCCAATTTACATTCGCTTTTCCAACATTAAAGCTGGAATTAGTATATGAATATAGTATAGAATATTCAATGTAGGATTTAAGAGATAATGTATTTCAAGTACTTTCAACTTACGCATTTTTTGGACGTATGCTGCCAGGGACGTTATAGTCTATATACGTTCCTGATGTTAAAGAAAATTGTAGACGTGAGCAAGTCCAGATAAAATTAACCTTGCTTTAGCAAAAATTTCCTAATTTTTATCTATACATCACAGGCACAAACTGTTTATATGTTTTGAAGTTGCACGATACTTTCAACCAATCAGCACGCAGTTCGTAAAAAGCTTGATATAAGAAATTATTTTCTTTGCCTCCTTAGATTTCCTAGCCCAAATTTGATATTTTAGGTCTCACAACAATTCACGCTCATTGATTTGCAATATTTTTTTCAATAATAAATAAAATTATTTTATATATAATTGCCATGGTAAAATGTTAATATCAATTTAAGTGCTAAAAGGTCAAATTAAATGTACTTTTGCACTGACACCTACTTTCTTTTCGATTTTGAGTTCTGCTATGATAAAAAAAAGTCTTGATACAACCAGTATCAGGAATTAATATTGTAAATATTTTCCCCATTTATCCCTGCATGCCAAACTGTGACTATAACACAAATCAAGTTGACTTCTAATATGGCAGGCCCGTAGGAAGCAATTTCAGTTTGGGGGGCACAGCCATACATTTTTCAGTTGACATTGAGGGGACACTACCAAAAATTTCCTGACAAGCAAAAAAAAAAAAAAAATAAAAATAAAAATAAAAAAAAAAAAAAAAAAAAAAAAGTCATCAGACGTTTTTATTGAAGGGGCACAAGCACACATTATCTATGTTTACTATAGTAATCTATATATCGGCAAAATTATTGGGGGGGGGGGGCACGGCCCCCCCCCGTGCCCCCCCCCCCGGTTCCTACGGCCATGTTAATGGCGATTAGAATGATTCACTGCAATGTGAAAAATATCTTTCCGGATTTCCATTTCACCATATACTGACTCTAGATCATACACTGGAAGACTCCGCATTATTATACTAAACAGAGAACCTAGACAACTCTTAAGAATATAAAAGAACCATAATGATTTTTAATTATTCAGTAAATGAAATATTTGTGTTTTAAATAACCAATTTATCATTAAAAAACAAAATTTTTTTTTTTTTAAATGCTACGTTTTATGCTGAATTATTAGGGAATACTAATCTCTGAAGAGTTTATAATACTTTTTGTGATAAAAGTAATAAGAAATTAATTTTATAAATATGTTTTACACAAGAGTGAATGGCTGAGAGTTCTACATCACTGAAAATAAAATTAAATCAAAGTAATGTGAAAAAGAATTATAAATTATTTCAATAAACGACGTTTTGGAAATTCAATCGAGATCGGGATGACATAAAATATTTCAACAGCTGTTTTGTTTTTCAACTATATTTTCAAGGGAAAACAAAATAACATTGTTATTGATTTTATAGATAGAATATGATATATAAAGTAATTCACCAAATAAAGCACGAGTTCTCCAGGTTTTCTCTATAGAATTTTCTGTTAAGTAGTCCATTGTTTCGACTGTAGAAACTCTAAAAAGTTCAGTAAACATGGCCTGGTAATGTGTTTAAATTTCTAGCTTAGTGAATGTCTAAAAATTTCAAGTGATTTTTTATTTAATTTTTGTACTTTTCTCACCCGGTTTTCGAGCATCAAATCAATGTAAAAAATTGTCTCAGAAATTCACTCAACCAAATATTTATTACCCAGTAAAAAACGGCCAGTTGAAACATAACAAGGATGTTAATTACGGTATTTAACGTTATGCATCATACGATTTAAAAATTGGAGCATTTTTCCTTTTAATAATCTCGTTAATTATTACAGTTTGGTATTGTTTTTCTCGGTGTTCAAAGAATTTACCTTGAATTTCTTTTGTTTAACTTCTTCAGTAGCCGTCTGCGCAAACCGTTTGCTCGCTGCCATTTCCATTGTTTATTAACAAACTTCCTCCAAACTTCCGCCAGAGTTCGTTTGCGCACAACGCAAAATTTCGATCCCGATGAGTTAATTCACTTCAATACATACCTGTTCAAGGTCATTGGAAAATTATTAAGGGGGTGCTTAAGGTGCGATATCGCATCCCCTTTGAAAAGAAAAATACTTGAAAATAATATTTGAAGCAAAATAATGTCATTTTTATTTTTTATCTGTTTTTACATGGAAGTAATCGTGCTTTATTTTGTTTATTTGATATAATTATAAAGAAATTATTTCAATTAAGAAGGCACAAGAATCCACAAAAACTCCCCCTTTTCAGAAACATGGCGATATCTTCTCAGGAAAACATTGTTTCACTTCCCTTGCAAAAAAATTCAGCCATACGAAACGTTACCAAATTCCGGTAAAAAGCTTAAAATTTAGACCCGGCCTTTTCTTGGTACTCAGCGCCACATCTTCGCTTGCCAAGACAGTTTTTCTGATCCTCTCCACACAAAGATTTCATTGTTATGAGTAAAGCGGATTAGACACCTTGCTACTGATAAGCGTACGTAGATGCCAAGGCGTGTTAAATTCTTAATATCGTCCCAACGCCTTTAGTGACATGGGACATACGCTTTAAAGGTCATATTCGAAAGACCAATAACTTTCATTTGTAGAGTCGCGGAGTAAGGAGTTGATTCTTACGTCGCGGGTTCGAATCCACTGCGGGACGTAGAGACCAGTCTTTCTGATGAAACTGTATAAACCGAGGTCCCAAGTTGCAGTACTGATGTGTTGGCACGAAAAAGATCTCTGGCTGTTCAATGGCCCTAAGTGCCGAGCGTAGGTTAAAATTTGCAGCCCTCCTCCGGCAAGTGGTGGCGTCTTCATATGAGTGAAAAAATTCTCGAGAGGGACGTTAAACAATATTCAAACAAACAAACATTCCTGATGTCGGGCGCTGGCTAAGAAACAGTTTTATCCAAGTTAAACGGGTTAGGACTATCACGGCGCCGGGAACTAACGAGAATCGAATCCGAACAACGAGTTACCGATAAATACACAGGTATACTTGGGTTTTGGTTTATAAATATTTATGTACCTTATTGATATCCAAAAAAAAAAAAGTAAGGAGTTTGCATACATTTACTTTTTTATGTATCAATAAGGTACATACCTATTTATAAACCAAGACCCTGTGGGTAAATAATAATTTAAAAAAAAGAATCAGTGCTGTAGCACTGAATGATTTCAACGCACGGAAGGAGGGCCTCCGAAGAGTTTAAATATTAATATTAGACTGACTTTCTTTGAGATCGGTTGAATTGATTTCAAAGAGTGCATTACACAGTTGATTTTAGTTTAACTAATTATAAATTAAACTGCAAAAAAGTACAAAATTAAAAGAATAATTATTCAAGACAAAGAATTAATTAATTTTGAAAACATTACACGATCCACATAATTTTACATTCACAACAGTTGTCTTCGCAACCTGAGCAGTGGAATTGATAACCTTTTGAAACAGTTCGGTAGGCTTAAGACATTGTAAGAGACGCAGTTTTCTGTAATTTCTTTGTTTTGCGATCGCGCAAGTTTTTAAATAAGAACTAAACTGGTATCTATATCTGGTACCCTAGCCACGTGACTTCAGTTGGTATAAATGCGAATCGCGTCATGAATTCTGCCTCTATTTTTCAGTGAACACTGAGTCGTGAAGATCGTAAAGCATGTCAGGAAAACCAGCATACAAAGTCGGTATGTATGATTTTAAAGAATTGAGTCTGAATAATTGCAAAGGTGCATCGGTAATTCACACAAGAAGTGTAAACACTTCATAGGAAACATGCCGGTGGGTGTGCTATTTTTAATTTGGCTTGGGAAACCCCTTCGATTTTATCTTTTAATTATCGAATATACTCACATAATGAATGTCATCATTAAAGAAGGTGATAATGACTTGCCATATATGATTTTGCTGTGTTTAGGTAAAAAGTATTTTCTTTAAATCTCTTTAATACTGACTTTTGTACAGTACTTAATTTTGAACTTTAGATTTAGATATGTGCAGTGTTGAAAGTGAGGACGATACTTTCTCACGTGGGGTTCCAGTTAAGACACCCCCTCAAACTCCTGAAATACCCATCAAATTATAATGTATTCCTATAATTCCATTCTGACTCAGCATCCCAAAAATGCAACATATATATCAGTTGACACTGTAAAGGTCAATATCTTAAACCCCTTGTTTCTGTTGAACTAATTTTTTAATTTAAAAAAGTGGTTTCAGAGCATCTTTCAGAAGCAAGACAGAAACATGTACCAAATTATTAGAGATTCAGTTAAAAAAAAAATATTTGAATGAAGAAAAAAATGCAAATCTTGTTCATGAAGTTTTTATTTCATGTATTATATAGTTAATTTGAAAAATAGTAAAAAACCAGATGCATTTATTTAGTTCTTTCTACAAATGCACCAAAATTATCGCATGGTCACCTAAGTATATAATATAATAATAACCCTTTATCGAAATAATTTCACAGATTATTTCAGAAAGGCATAGAGCTGTATCAACTAAGCTAGTCATGGTTAACAATTACTAAAACTAGCAGTGTTTTTTTTTTTTTAACTGAAAGATATTGGATGTGTGTTTAGCATTAAAATGTGTGGTGAGAATGAAGTAATGTGGTATTTGTTTTGGAAAACTTGCATTGATTGCCAGTAGGCTGGGGATTTTAATAAGAGATTGATTGGACAAAAATATGCTCTTCATGTTACATGTATGTAAAAGTGATTCGCAACAAATCAGTTGCATCATACAATGGTGGAACCGAATGTGAAAGTGTGGCATTGTAGGGTGAATTGAAAATATTAAATGTTTTGTTTATGCAATTTATATCATCTTTATTTATTCTGAAATTGCAGCTGACATCAGCTTGGCTGATTGGGGCAGAAAATGCATCGAGATTGCAGAGAATGAAATGCCTGGCTTGATGCAGATGAGACAGATGTATGGTGCTTCCAAGCCTCTGAAAGGCGCCAGGATTGCTGGTTGTCTTCATATGACAACTCAGACCGCCGTTCTTATTGAAACCCTCACAGCTCTTGGGGCTCAGGTATGTTAGTTTTATAGAAATCATCTGAATCTTTGTTTGTATCTGATCTTCCAATTGCCTAAAATTTGGCTTAGGATACTTTCATCTGGGAGCAGTTATCTAGATGTGAGGAGAAAATTTCAAAATTTTGATTATTGAAATAAAAGCATAGTTTATTGATTGGATATGAAGATTCTCATGGTAAAATACTCATATGTCTACAAAGATTTTTTTTAAATTCAGAGACGGAAATGGATTTAAAATTTATGTAATTGTCAACCTCTTTATTTATAGGTCCAATGGAGCAGCTGTAATATTTTCTCCACCCAGGACTTTGCAGCAGCTGCCATTGCTAAGACAGGAGTCCCTGTGTATGCATGGAAGGGAGAAACAGATGAGGAATACATCTGGTGTATTGAACAGGTGGAGTAAACATAAATTTTGTAATTTCTGGTGCCATTCAAAAATCAGATATGCAAGATTATTTACAAATAATCTCAATTTCTTGCTAACAGACCCTGGTTTTCCCCGACGGTCAACCCCTCAACATGATCCTTGATGACGGAGGTGATCTGACAAACCTTGTTCATGAGAGATACCCACAGTATATTGAAGGTAGAATTTTCAAGCATATGGTCTGTCTATAAATATGATCAGTCAGGGGTGAGACTGAAATCCATCATTTCTGAAAAATGATGGATAATCGTCATATTTACTAACTACGTATTTTCGTCATTTTTGTCAATATGACTTACTATCGTCATTTTTTCTTTTTCAACTGAATTCTTCTATCCTGGTTACATAAAAGCGAAATTTGAATTCACCACTGAAAGAAGAGTGTTTACGCAAGTTTCATTTCATCTGGGTCACTAATTACTGCCAACCACATGCGTTAGAACATCAACATGGAAGGTGAAAGTTATTATTTAGCGGTAAAATGTCGAATTTTGGTAGAACTAATTCGCCATTTTTACATGGCTTTTAAACCTATAAAAACATATAGTACACCGTCTGGAAGAATACGTACTTGTAGAGAAAAGTCTCGACAAAAAGTTAAAGCCATAAAAAAGTAGTGCGCCCCGTAAAACAAGCGAGATATTTCAGTGCGCCCAGACCCTCCATTTTGAAAAAAGACGGCATATCGTCATTTTCGTCTTCTTTCCTATTTAATGCAAATAAATTGACAAACAACTCTTCCACTCTTATTTTTGCTTGGGAAATTTGTACTGTCAACATAACCAGTATTGTAGTCAATTGTATTAGAGAAATGAAGTTTGTTTACGATGTTTTTTGTCCTTTTTTCGGTTGGTGGATCTAACATTTTTCAAAGAGAGGTAACTCGGTATTCTAGAAACACTCTAAATTTTTATTACTGTTTTTTGTTATTTTCTTAAAAATGACCAGTTTAAGTCATAATAAAAATTTTATTTTATTGACTAAAAATTGTCATTTTAAAAATGACGGATTTCAGTATCACCCCTGACTGATGATAAAAATGAAAACCCACCCTACCTAAAGTATAATTTTTTTTTGTTCCAATGAGGAGCAATAAGTTGTAATAGTTTGATAAGTTTTAATTTGAATAAGACACCCATATCTGTTAGTTTAAAAGTGTGTTTACTTTCTTGCCTTTTGATGTTTTATTTGCAGTTGTAATTACCTGTAGGTTTCGGTATATTTATTATATTTTTCAGTATATTTGTTCAATCCTTCAGATTTTTTTTTTGCACATTGTTGAGAACTGAGAAAATTTGAACAGACAAAAAAAAATGTTTTCACCTCCAATTCAGAATAAATACTTGAGCAGGAAAAATGTTATCTTGTGCAGGAAGGGCTGCAGACTATTTTTATTTTTTAAATTTAGTGGAAATTTAATCCAACACTGCAAAGCAAAGTAAAGGCAACTGAAGCACTGATATCAAGAAG